TTATCCAAGAAAAAATGGGTTGTAATGATGCATATAAACACAGCACTATTTTTGTAGGATTTCTCCCTTACTTCTATAAATCTTTTCTTCCTATGAGGCCTACATCTTTGAGGGGCAGCAGATACAAAACAATCTACTTAAGTCACAAGTAAGCAACACCTTGTGGGAAACAAACTGTCATTAACATGAAAACAGGTACTTTAAAGAAATAGAAAAGAATTCCAAAGAATTAAACAGAGATTGATGCTTGGATCCTTRTGTGACTTCACCTCTTTTTCTTGACCATCTGAAGCACCCGATAACTTCTTGGACATTTGTYCAAGTAAGGCTCCTTCTCCACCTCTTAAGAAATACTGGTTTTACCTGTTAAAAAAAACCCCACTTTTATCCTTTATTCAGCAGCACACATGTTCCCTACTGAGCATCCCAAATGTATTCCTTCTTTTCAGGTATATCAAAAAACTGTTACAGACTATTAATACAGATATTGTAGAAAATGTGAAGCATGTAAGAGCACGGAATTTTGCTCTACTGAAAGYTCTTTATTATTGCATAATATCAGACCATGACAAATGTTCACCATCACCATAAGGAAAACATTCATATTGCTACCCACTGCCTGAAGCAGAGCAGTGTGGAAATCCTTACTGTAAACAGCATCACGGTTTCCARCAAGTGCCTCACCTTGATGAGTTACTCCTTCAGCACAAAAARGACACAAAGAAACATTTGCTCACTCCTGAAAAGTAATTTAACACGAATGATGTTCAGATTGACACACCACCAGCTTAGAAAATGAATTCTCTTTGGGCAAGTAATGGAGAAAACCCTGGGGACAACTGTTATCATGTATTTTATATTTGCCACGCATTTTTCAAAACTCCAGTTGCTCTTGTAACAACAAAAAGTTGCAGAAAAGCTATTCCATCATTATCAACTGTGAACTCAGGCTAAAGGTAGGAATTCACTCCTACTTGTTCACTTTCATGCTTTTAGATGAGTGGGTAGCGTTGCATGTTTTCACAAAAAAAAAAAAACACCAACAAGTATTTAGATCTTAATAGATATCTAAGTTCCATGARGAACCAAATATTTCTGGATGCTTTTTCTTTGCGCCAATACCTATTGTTTAGAATTTATTTTGCCACATCATGAAGCTATGTTTACAGTTTTCACACTTCAGACTATTAAATTAAAACATGGCAGGATTCATAGATGTATAAAATGCCTAAACATGCAGTAAAGATCTATTAGGAGCTATCTTCCATTGTGTTCACATCAACAGGTGATTTAAAATTATGGGGGAAAACTGAGCACAGGAGAACGTTCATTTTCATTTTAGAGTAGCATGACTATGACTGATCTTTTCAAATGGTTCCACACTGCAACTTTGGTCAAATTTTAAACTGAATATAAAGTCAATGAAGATGATCTATGTAGATACATGAACTGTCCTTAAATATTTCTTCTGACAGCAAGTTTCTTACGAATGGGAATCAACACACTTATATTACCAACATGACAGTGAAGCATTAATTCACTAACATCATGTCTAACTCCCACTTTCTGGTCAATAGGTAATGAGGAGTTTGGTTTCTTTAAATCCAACATCAAATGCCTGGTTACAGAATCCTTGACCAACATTTAAAGGTACTTTTAAAGTCTTTTCATAAAAGCAATTGGCAAGTTAGAATTCATTTTTAATAAGCAGAATGAGGCCCAAAGTATTCTGAATTTTTATTAAAATAGTCTTCCTACAGTAGTGGAATTATTTAGCAAAGTCAAGCCACCCCCTGTTGCACAGCCTTTTCARTAACACAACAAATTTGATCTTCTCTGCTCCTCTGGTGATCAGCACTGCTGGCTGATAACGGCTCTGCTTACAAACACAGATGCTGTTTTGACCACGAATGCAATTTCCAAGCAGCCAAGACACAGCTTTACTGAAGAGAGAATCACCTTTCCTTCAACAAAACCAACTTCTTCTAAACTTTTACAGATGGATATAATTCCATGCACAGTCATTAGATCCAGAAACYTCTCAGTACGAGAACCAGAAGTTGCTTAATGACACATTACACGTTGATTTGTGACGCTCTGCATGCAGTTTGCTTTTTAAGACTTTTGGGCTGCTTCCTTTTGTGAAGGCAATGCGTTCAAGATGGGGGATGTCTGGTTCCCAGCACTGCCTCTATCTGCTGGATGTCATTATGCACTGAAGATTTATGTTCAACTTCAAATCAAATGCAAGTTTCAAACCCTAAGCAGGGACGCCCACAAACATATTGTTCTTTGGAGAACAACTCTCTGGCTCCATAGATATAACTTGAACAGAGTAGTTATGCTCTTCTGCAGCCCATGCCCGATCCAGATCCACAAGTCCCATGCACTGCTTTCCTAAAATGAGAGCAAGGGAAAGGAYAGAAACTTAAAATGTAGAAACATTATCRGAAATGTGCACTTAAATATTCAATRTTAGGAAAACACATCAGTAAACCACCTAAAAAATAAGTTCCAAATCTGCTTAAAAACATCTTAATCTGGTTTATTTTCCTAATCACATCTCTGACTTGTAACCCTCATTTAGCTAAGGCCTTGAGAAGATTAACTCTTTATATATGAAGAAAGGCACAACTATTTTAAAGTATCCTCAAAACTTACAGAAAAAAAATAATACTTTAAGGCAAATGGGAAGAAGAAAAATGCCTAGTTTACCCCTTAGCTCTCTGAAATGCCAAACTTCTATTCCCTTTATAACCATAACTGCTTTCCTCCTGTACTTTCACCTAAAATCTGAAAATCTCTGGTTACTGAACAGAAACAACAGACTAAAATATCAAAAAGTGGATCCGGTGTAATTGATTTGAGACATATTAATGTAACTACTTTTAAACAAACATACTAAATTGGTAATGCAAATTAAGCTTATTTCAGATTTACCTGCAGAAAAACCCAGGAASTACAAAGGGGTTTTTTTCTACTTAGGAGATTTTCTGCGTAAAAAATTATTACAATTTAGCCATAACAAGAAGATGAAACCATTTGTCTTTACTTATTTACTAATTTTAATTGATTGTTATGTTCTGAAATACAGAATTGACTTGTCAGATTGTATTTTCAGCAGCTTGAAATTCTACTAAAAGAAAAATTTAATGCTACTTTGAAATGTTTTATCCCTAATAGTTATAGTCTTAAATAACAAACAGAGCACAATCTTGCTTCAGTTTCAAACACAAAGACCCTACCKTTTTTCTTGTTCTTGAGAGAATTGTATAGTTAAATGCATTTGGGGTCTGAGATAAAGAGACAGGAGCACCTCCTGTTCACCTTTGGCAAAGGAGTCTGGCATTCCAAACTACCSTCTGGAACTGCTTACCTCTCTTCCCTGAATATAAACAGAGCTTTAGTACCTGTATCATTACCAGCCCTGTTAGGTACCCTGGTTAGGTGCCTGGAGAAGTTTTGGGCAGGTGGCACCAACACACCCTCAGTATCTTTGTATTTCAGAGCAGGTGGTGCACATCACATTTTAATGCAGTGCTCACTCCGATCTACTCTGTCCATAGTGAGCCCATGGCCAGAACTATCTTCTCCTTCTCAGCTGAATTCCTTAGTTACAAAAGGATTTCACTACTTTCAGTTCACCAAAATTACAACATTTGGACTCTCTTCTGTCGGTGGCCTGAGATGTGAAAGGGGTAGAATTGGTTAGGAGACAATTTAGAGATAAAATAATAAGGGAGGGCCTGAAAAAGAACTTTCCAACTCAGTCCTGTATGGATTCATATGCTGAAGGGAGAAATTATCAGTTTCTATAACCAACCAAGAGAGAACTCTGCAAATTACTTTTTGTGGCCCTATCCTCCCACATTTGTGGTTTCATAGAAAATCACCATCTGTAGTTGATTGAACAAAAGGGCATTTACGTACTCTTGCCACTGACACCAATTTCATTACTCCAGTGTACACACTGAAGGGAAGCTGGGWTTGTCACAAGTGGGGCCTGGCTACCTGGGTGCTCTCAGTAAGCCTGTGAAACTCATGGAGCAGCTCTGTGTAGTCAGGTGGACTGTAGCAATGTTCACAAAGCCATCCAACCATTCATTTTCCACTCAGGTATAACTTCCACATGTAGAGGGTGAAAGCCACGTCCAGTGAAAATGGTACACAGGATTTTGTTCTTTTAAGAGGGAATTGCTGTGTGTASCAGAACTGCGTTCAACTCCATCTCTTTATGGTCACAGACACTACAGAAAGTGGTGGTAATTCCTTAGACAAATGTGTTGTTTTGGCCATGACAGTCACAGACAAAATGCTGTATTTTACAGCTTACAAGTAATGAAAGGAAATGATTTGTCACTTCTCTGAAGTCACATAAACTCAGTGGTAATTGCCAAAACAATTGTGCTGTGTTCACAACACAACCCTAAAATATTCAAAAAGTAGCAGAATAAGTAATTTTGCCACCATTTAAAATGAGAAGAAAGTCTCCATCTGGTCAGGAAAACTTTCATTAAATGAAAYATACAGTTTTTTAATTCCTGATCATGCATTGCACAAGAACAAAATTTAAAAAAACATTATTGCCATGGCTGAAACACTGACCTCATTCAATCTTCAATTGTTTGTAAGCAAACTTAAAAATACCGCCAAACAAGATTCCCAGAAAACCAGTTTTGAAGCTGAAGCAGAACACAGAAATGACAACCATATTCATTGAGATAGACTAGTATCAAATGGAACTTACAGAAAAGTAACATTCTTGAAAACAGAAAAAGGGATGACGTAGGGGGAAAGAGAGAATAAAATTATATTTGGGGTTTCTTGTCAGGGCAAACATAAAAATTACATTTGTGTTCCTTATCCCCTTCTGTCTTTTTTGACCTAGAAGCTAAATACAGCTAATTACCAGACAGGACCGCACTATTTTTTTTGATAAATACACGCTTATATATACCCTTTATACAATACACCCTTTTATAGGTCAAATCTTATTCCACATATTTGAAGTGTTCTGTATTTGCTGTCCTTCTGACCAAAGCCAGCCCAACCCCTGCAATTCAGTCTTATTGTTTGCAGCTGGCATTAGATGTTTGCCTATCAGGAGAGTTATCCCCAGTGACTACAAGCAGAACAAAGGGGGCACATGAAAAAGGGGCACACTGAAAATCACTTCTACAAATAGCCAGTGCTTTTAATGTGAGATGAACCACCAATAGCAGGACTTTAGTGAACTTCAAGAAGATCTCATGCTTTTCAGAGAATCATGGGGGGGAAAAAAAGATGAAGCAAAAAAAAAAAAAACAGTAAAATGCAAACTAACTTTCTCATATTGATGATTTTGGAAGAAGAAAGGAGTTTTTACAGGACAGAAGACAACAGCAAGAGATGAAATGTGACAGAACTTGAATTTTTCAAGTGTCATGTGAAGACATCTACTTAGTGCTCCATTCACAAATGTATGATTTCTTCCTTTATGTATCAAGGTAAAACCATTACTGAGATGGTTTACACAACAGCTGTAGAAATTCATACCAGTTAGCCTACGTTCAGGTGGAAGCTGAACAGCTGTCTGATCTGCGAATCTGCAAAGGATCATGTGCTCCTATAAAAAAAAAAGAAAAAAAAACCAAGAAAAATCTGAATAAATGCTTAAAAGTATCAGAAATGCTACCATGCTGAAGACAATATTTCTCAAAAAAAAAAAAACCTGTGCGCAAATCCCAATTTTTATACTGCAAATAAAGTAATAAGTGCTTGTAATCTCAACCCTTCTCCTCATGAGTATTCGTTTCTTGCTAAACTTCCTAATTCTTTGCACCAGTTGAACTGGACGCAATGTATACAAGACAGCATTCTTCAAAGACATCCTGCAGACTAATCTTGCCTTCAAGAATGGATGAGCAACACAGCCATCTTCTAGCAGAGTCATCATATGGCAGCTTCTCAGCATGAATAAGCAGCCAAGACAAGTCAACAGTAAATTTGAACATTCCTCCCAAGCAGTGATTTTGAATCCACAGGCTGGTGGGTCAAACTTCATCTGCCCTACCAGATCCATTCAGGTCCTGAAGGCAAAGAATATCTGGCTCTGAATAGAAAGGTTTCCTCCATCAAAATGAGCACAATTTACTTCCAAACKAGCCCTGTTTCACTACCATTTTCTGCAGAGGCTTTGAAAACGGCTGCTGTTGATTTCTCCCTGTCAATCACCCGGGGGGATGGTGCAGGGGAGGGTGCAGAGCCCCATCCTCATTTGCCTTCAATCCCCATTGCCTGAGCCAGCACAATATCTCCTCAAAGACCAGCCGTGCCAAGGAAGGCAAGTTAGCCAGATGGTGAGAGGAAGAGCCTGGCAGGTGCAGCAGTGAAATTGCTGCTCTGATGACAGCTGTGCTCTGTGGGACCAYTGCAATATTAAGTACAGGAGAGACTAAATCAGAACCGTCTTAGAATCACACAACATTCCCAAGTCTCCTGACAATGTCATGGGGAGAAAACAGAAATGGGCAACAACAAAAAGTGCTCTCCTAAGCAAAGCTTCCAGAGCTATAGCTCTGAAACAAGGACATGTCTTGCATCCAAAAGATGTCTTATATGAAATTATGATTTTAAAGACTTTGTCCTTGTAATAGGTGGACAGAGCAACTTCACCTAAGGATATCACAGGTTCTTTCAGTAATCTGAAGTAAGGGTACTTATTCCAGCATCTTATTCAAGGGACATAAACATCCAATTCTTCACTCCACAAAAAAGCTTCGTATCAAATCACAATGTTAATTCCTCCAGTACACTCCATACAATTCATAAATGCACACCTGGCCACAAAAARTTTTCCCACATATTATAAAATAAAATATTATCATCACCTGATGGACAAATACTACTCATTTAAATACAATTTATAATATCTCAATGCAAGGATATTTGTTCCACAGTACAGCTCATTGACATGAAGGTTTCCAGCTCACAGCTTCATAAAAAAAGAACATGTTATAACACATTTACGACTTAAATATGTCACACCCAGTCAGTTCCATTCAAATATGGCTATTTTTGTAGTACAGAAGATGTGAAAATGTTAAACCCAGATGTGACTACTGGTGAATGGATAAGAAGGGGTGCCATGGACAATGTGGCACTGTCAGAAGACAAGCAGCAGTGACAGGCAGCTTGGGGAGAAAAAGAGGGATTTAGAGAAGAGGGAGAAGATCARTGTTAGCACACAACTCCTCACCAGCCTTCAGGCACCTGATACAACTTAGCTTTTTGCAATAGCAAGCTCTCAGCTCTCTGAATCTGACCAGAACCAAGGTAAGTCTTGTCAGTTAACCWGAAAATCTGGACTGACTCCAATCCCTGGCTTCTTATAGAGGTGATCCAGAAAGATAAATTAGAGGCCTGTACAATGAGTACATTGTTTCCTCCTGACACARTGATTAAATTGTCACATTGCCTGTTGTCAGAAATAAGAAGTACTTCTAAAATAATGATTAGAAACCTTCTAAAGAGGTATAAACAGCTAACTTGCTTACTAGAAGATCCACACCTTCAATTCCTATTAAATTTCCAAAGCTGTACTTGCAAAATTATACAGCTCTACTTTCCAATTCTCTTTGAGTCTTGATGAAGTCAGAAATGTATCATGGTAGAAATCTACAGCTGTGATAACCTCATTCCTTGCAACTATAACCTAATGAATTACAGCAYAATGTTCTCATCAAAAAAGTTTTGGAAATGCCAGAGTTCTGCATGTCTTTTTAGATATTACTAAAATGGAAGATAAGAGAAATTAATTTAAAATGAGAACTGGAAGGGGTGACACCGAAAAAGTCTGGCTAACACATGGCAACTTTGGCTGCTAGCCAATAACCTGTAAGTATCAATATGAATTATAAAACCCCATCCAGCTAGCTGCATAACTGAAATTATTTATAACTAGGATTATTTAAGGCACCAACCAGCCTAGACCAATTGTATAGACTCTTGTGTTACTAAGAGCAGCAATATTTTTTAACCTTATCTTTGACTCCGGTGCCCTTCTGCAACAAAATAATAAAATTCTAGAGCTTCTACAGTGTTGACAAACCTCTGATGTAAATTTCCATGGATTAACAGATTAAGAAAAAATTCACTGAGTTGCAATGAGATTACACAYACTATCCTTATCTAGGCATCCTTGACTTTATAATTGTAATCATCTCTGTACTGTCAACAGGTTTAACAATGCTAGTAATTTTTTTTTTTCTGAACTAAAACCCAAGTTCTTTGTGATTRTGTCTTAGAGAAGTTGAAAGAAACATTAATCACAGGGAAGAAATAAAGGCAGCTCCAAATCCACCATGCAGCTTTTATCATCTCACTCTTTGGGCATTTATTACCTGATAACTGAACTTCCCTTACAAGATGGCTGGAGATTCTCTAAATTTTTAAAACTCTTTCTAATTTATAATTATAAAGGATAATCTCCATTTTCCTGCCACATACAGTATCTTTGAACTGTCCCCAAAAGCATTTGGATATTAGAAACACCCTCCGTCACATCCATACTTATGTTACAAAGAACTATTCTGCATCTCCAAAATTAATTTCTATATTGTAAACACAAAGAGCCCTGTCTAGAATTTGACCTGTAAATTTAATGAAGTTTCTATATACCCTTGCTTCCCTCAAAAGGAAACATGTTCTTTCATCAAGTGTCTCTAACCTTCAAATTTCAGGTTGCTCATCACTAACTAGTTTAAACTCACAAGACAAAACTTAACAGATCAGTATCARTTTTCTGCTGTCCACCTCTCTGCTCTTGTCCTTTTCCACTCCCCATTACCTTCTCTGGTAGATCGGCACGTTTCAGTGATAATTTCTCCCGAATTTCTCTCAGATTATCTCCACAGATCCCAGCTCCACAGGGTCAAAAGACGCTTTAATATTTTTTTAATAATTTTGAACAACATTTTTAAAACAGAACAAAATAAAAATACTGTATAAAATTCTTGCTGATCTGTATAAACTCTTCCTACTTACTATGTTTTAGACATAAATTAGAGGGAGGAATGTAATATTTAATACAACAGTTGTATTTAAYACCTAAACAAATTGGTATCCTGTAGTTCAACACCCTGATACATGCTGAAGTACTTTAGGAATGGCTCACTTATACATTTATGACAAAAAATGGCGTTTTTTTGTGGAGAAACTATTTCGTTCTATTGAAGAAAAGAACCCTTAAAAATAGATATTGGAGAGAAAATACGATGACACCTGCACTAATAATGAACATTTCACTCAACACACGCCCATCCTTGATATTAGAAGATAACCACCTACATTTCATTTGATAAGAAGACTCAGTGAAATGCAGGAAACTACACAAAAACATCTCCCCCTTTCCCACCCTTGTAACATACCTTGTAGGACAAAATTTCTTTGAACTGATGACTGAAAAAAAAATAGATAATTCAATTAGCATCTAAAACCAGCAAAGGTAGAAAATAGAAGCAAGCAATAAATACTTGAACACAGTTTAAAGAAAATAGCAATATCTGAATCATTTAGAAAGGCATTAAAAAATTCTAAAACCCATTACAGTTCCAGGTGACTTGAAAATGAAAAGTGTACTTGGCAGTGTCTTTTTTCCCCGTTACATTATTAATCAAAATTCTCTTTTTAGATCATTCTAAATACTAACACATATTTACTGTTGTTTCCTCACTGTCACAGAAACTCTTTATATATATTTAATAATACTCTAGACACACATATATTTTGTTTGTATCAAAAAGTAAAGGGTCTTTACAATGGAACCGAGTACASAACACAGGCACTGTGGTGATATGGCCAGGCTGTAATGTTTTATGATCACATAACCTAAGGAAAAAAAGAAAAAGCCAACCCTAAAATTTAGCTCAAGCCCAGRTTGATAACTTTTTCATAGACTTACGATGTTAGATTCAAAATTTTAGCAAACACAAACATTCTTGCAGCATTTACAGCAACAGAAGTTATCCAAGTGATGATTTTCAATCTTTGTGGTCTAAAAACATAGCTGGTCAAAAGTTAAACATTATCCAGCAAATTTTAAAACAAATAAACTGAGAAAAACTATATGCCTGCTTAGTTTGGAAGGCTTAACACTTTATTCCCTATTCCTTAGAAGACTTATTTGTGGTATTGTGTTGCAAGAGAAAACAAAAAGGGGCATGCACAAAGAGATGGAAGAATCAAATTGAATAAGAAAACACTGTTAAATGCAAAGGTAATCAAACTGACACGTTATAAATAATTATTCTCCACAGACTTCTGTGCCAGAACACTTTGATATTATAGAAAAAGAAAATATTTCATATAAATGCATAATATCTTTTTAGATTTGTTGATTCCTTTTAAGAAGAATATTTCAGTTTCTTATTTCAGAAATATATACTTAAGTCATTGATGTAATTCCTAGTAGAATTAAATCTAATTCCTCTAGGACATCCAAAATGCAAAGCTCAGTTTTATGGAGAAAAAAAAAAAGCCAACCAAAACACAACCCTTTTCCCCTATCTAGTTCTGACTCAGAAGGCTATTTAACCTCTTGTCTTCTGCCACTTTATGCTTATCTTTTACTTTTTATGTATATCAAAAACATTAAAATTCTATAGCAGTATCTCTCACAGGACAGATTTGAAGACAAAATATGTACACAATCCATTCAAGAAGTATTAAAAATATGAACTGAAATACAGGAGAGCTTATCTAGCTGGGAATAAATCAGAGGAGTTTCACAAGCAGTAAACTGTGGTATAAAGCAGACCCATTTCTTTAAACCAGCTGCTTACATCTTCCTCTAACATTAAAACATCAATTCCCCTTCTGAGAGTAATTTTCATGCRTTTTCTATTGACTTTGTGATGTAAAGATAGAAGGTCTGCATATTAGATACYGTATCTACTATGTTGATTGTATAAAGTCTTCTGAACCATGAACAGACAAATCCAGAAAAAAAAAAATCCAGGAATTACCAATCTGTCTGCCTTTCAGGATGGGTTGACAAACAGGAAGAAACAGTTACATTGTAAGCGTGAATCAGCTTAACCTGGTCACTCACAATGACTTCAATTCCTTAATTCTATTCTCTTCTAGGATTTTATTCTTTCACTTAAGTTGAKATTTTATGGCTTATCTTGCAAGCTTTCGTTTACCTTCGTGGATATTTGAACTTGACTGTATTTTGAATGAAGCCATAGCAGCAGGGGGAGATGACAAAGGCTGCCCCTGCCCTAAGGCAGTGTTCAATCACCATGTCTGTGGCCACACCACAGGCATGCAGAGCCACCTACAGCAGGAAAAACAAAAAACAARGAAAGAGAATTCATCATTGGAACATTCTAAATACAATCCAGCATTTTTTGGTTGACTGAGTTACTAAAATCAGGAAGGTTTTGCAACTAAAACTGTTACASCAAACACCTGGTCCTTAATTCTTCCATTCTTCATTCCTCTCCTTCATATYTATGTGGAGCAAAATTTAGTTTATTCCATCAACAAGGGAAGCGTCARCACTGAAGAAGGGTCACTCACTAAAAGCATTCAAAAGGCAGGTGCACTTCACTGTGATATCAAGYAGACTAAAACCAAATCTTCAGAAAAATAGTAGTCGTAGAATAGATAGTAACAGAAAAACTATGCAGTGATTTGGCAAAAGTCTTCGTCAGGCCAAAAGGACTTAGAAATACAAAGAACCATATGAAAACTGGATTTGAACTAAGCACTAAGAGAAGTAACAAATACACCTGAAGGTAATAATTGAAGAAAAAAATTACGCATAAATTTAGATAATTTGACTTTACGGAGTAAAAACTTCAGAAAACAAACACTGAAGCTGGGGGAAAGCATCAAATACTATTTGCCCTGCTTTAAATTTTGTTCTCTCCTTTCTCTTTTCTATCTTTTTCTTGGCAATGGGCTCTTCAACTAAAACTAAAATAACATTTGATCACAACTACCTGTGAGCACTGATGTGTTTGGGCAACATACAGTTTGCACCCAAATTCTTCCTGCTCTCCTACAGAAAGGCAAGTTACTGCAGTACTCAATATATTGCAAGGRAAAGCAAGCAGCTCCCTCCTATCTGTACCTGGGACGCCAAATGGGTCATGTGAAATGGAGGCTTTACTTCCTCTCCTCCCATGTGTTCAGTACCTCAAAGAGTAGGTCTGGTGCATACTTTAAGGACATTTCTGAGGCACATTTCTAATTTTATGCAGCAGTGTGGATTTATAAAACTACATTATTTGCTTTGCTTTTTGTTCACTGTAAATTTAGAGAAAAGGTTTAAAACTGCACAGCTCAGATTTCAGGGTWCAAAGCTGCCTTTCAAGGTAGAGCAACTGGAAGATAAAAACTTTGCTCTCAGATACAAATTAAAATAAAATCTTTTTTGTTCGCAGTCTTTTTGCTCAGCTAAGAAGGCCATTAATCATTGACTGAATTGTAGCTGCATACAGATGGAAACAAATATTCTTGTCTCAAGCAGAACATTAAAAAGTAACAGTAAAATAATTCCACAATGAAAGTGTTCATACGATTTTAACAACAAAAATAAAACTAGTTTAACATCAGAAATAAATTCTTAATATCACAGCAATAAGATTATCATGGAACRTAATTATAATTACTTCCTCATTTATCCAAGTAGAAAACAAAGCTCTCTGCTTTGCTTGCACATTTGAAAAAGAGAGCTTAAAATGGCAGCAAATAAAACCAGTAGCTTTGCTGAGTCTGTATGACTGTTACACCAACTGTTTTCTTCTYTGGTTTTCTGAGATCCCATTAAGTCAATAAAAAATCACAAATAAAATTAAAGAAAAAGTTTTCTCAGGATATCCTATATGTTGATCTCACTATTTGAAATAAAATATAATGTGAAGACTAATGCAGATATTTGGAAATGAAGGCCTGGAAATGAAGAATTTCCAAGTGAACTCTTCTCACATACACTTCGATTATCTTSCTTGTCACAAAACTTGAACTACAGAATATTTTTTTATTAAATAAAAACTCCATAGAGTTAATATCGTGTTGACTTTCAAAATAGGCCCCTAAAAATTAAGACAGGAATTCCAATGACCACGGAAGTGGAGACTCATTTCATAAAACAACTGTTAAAAATTTCACACACAATACAGTAAATTATTCATGAGATCCTGGTATTCTGAAATAGCTCTCTAATTCRCCCACTGAGATATATATGACAACGTAGCACAGAAAATAAAGCTAGAGAATTGGAAATTTACACTAGGAAGCACTTATTCTTTGCTCTTCTTCCTCCACTATATTTCTGTTCCTTTCTTAAATAAACCAACCAAACAGTTGCACAGCACTGTTCTTGTACCATAAACCTTCAGGATTAACCCTCCAAACCAGGCCTTTAGATGGGTGATTTAAAGGTCAGTCTTGCATGGAAAGCTTCCACCATGCCACAGAGGTTCATATTCTATGAATAGAATWAAAAACTAGATGACAGGAATATTTAGAGTCACAAAATACTGTTTATGTCTTTTTCCTCACTAGGGCTGCAGAATTCTAGACAGAATATTCATGTCACTTACTTCATGGTCTGCAAGGACATAGAGAAATTTCTTCTCTCACATATTTCAATTGTTCTAAGAATAATTAATCCAATACTGAAGTTTTGAAGTAGAAGAGTTATGGTCACTTACCCCAATGTTAAAAGTCCCATTAAAATAGTCCAAATTTGCTTGAATGAACCAAATGTTGCTTAAACCCAGTTCATCACTTCTGTCTTTAGCACGGATCAGDGACAGCTCCTTATTTTCTATGAGTACCACCTAGATTTCACGCATAGGAGAAAGTAGGCAAAATAATATTGAGAAATTGAAATACAACATTACCAAGCAGAAAACTTCGTAGTTTGTTGAGAAAACCTCTGAATTACTTGTGGCAGAGTCTGAAATCTACAAAACGACTAGCTGGAAATCCAGTAACAATCAAAGGCATTTAACACTGGCCAATATTATTCAGCTTGCAAATATTTTACTTTCCTATTACTTTTKTCTTCTCTGGAAAGCACCACACACATTTGCAGATTATGCTAAAAATTTGCACGTTTCAAACCTAAGTCTTCTGCTGAGACAACTGTGATTTCTCTCTACATACACATCTTTTAAATGAGATTACCAGAGATCTTTTTCTTGAGAATTTACCTGACATGATGGCATCATATAAGCAAGAACAATTCCAACATGGCCCTGTGAAAAGAAACACAAACAAAAAAATCTGAGCTACTTTTCAGTGTTCCCTGCTGTTCACTCATTACCTGATAAGCGTCCCCATACCAATGAGAGAACATTTGAAAGCAGCCAAAATTTCAGCATTTGCCCTTCTGCTTTGCTTTGTGACAGCAACCACCTAGAACTGCAAAGATGGATGAAAGCTGAAAGAAATTACACCACATAAAAATATATATTACCCCTCCACTGCAAAAGTCCACAATCACATCTCCAGGCTTTGCAAGTTTCATCACTGCTGCTACCAAATTATTCAGTTGCTGCTGCTTCCTTAGAGCCCGGTCTCTAGACATCTTTCCTGGGGATGACAGAGAAAATGCCTAAGTAGTGATCAGCGGTTCTCAACACCGACAATTTTACATGGGTAACTGCAAAGCTGAGATTAAAACTGAGTGGAACACTTGGGAATCTTAATCCACTTCAAGCTAAATTCATATTTAACATATTAAATATTTGGTAGACCCTTCTCCAAAATTAACTTTCTTGTTGTTGCTGGTAATATATCCTTAGGAAMAAACTCATATAAACTTAATGTAAAGCAATCAAACTGGTTTAAGCTCTGGCCTAATTATACTCCAATCCTGTGATTCATGCCCAGAGACAGAGCTCAAACACATTCACAACAAGGTTGCCAAAATATATCCTCATTTACCATAACTGTATTCACCATCTTTAAGCAACTGAGTTTTAAAAGTTKAACTCTTTCTATTGTCAACTTTTACACTTCATAATAACCAGCCCCACTTACTTAAATGATTACATGTGCAAGGAGATAGTTACTTTGAGAATTATTTCCACACAGCAATGTCTGGCTTTCCACCACATCTGTAACAACCAGAACTGGTAAAACTATTRATTTCTTTCAAATGTTCTTGGTAAAGTCCAACATGGAGTTGCTCCAGATATAATGAATTTGTTAAGTCAGCACTTATATATTTGTAAAGCTGCATTTTATCTCAGTGGGACTGAGTGCTGACAGACCTATTAAAGACTCTTTTTGCTTRTTCAGAAAGCAGAGCTTGACATAGATATTGACAGCTCATCTTCACAATAAGAAATGAGTATTGAAACAACCCTTTCAAATGAATTGTCACAAAGGAGAGTATGGTGCACCAAACAATTCCAATRTTTTCTGAAATATTAACAACTTTTCTCCTACTTGGGAGCACCACACAATATTTGAGTATGGATATTCTTCACTTACATATAAAATTCATTAAATTTGCCTATTAAAAAAATGTGTTTCCCAGTACTGATGTGTAGTTTAGAATAAAACCCACAAATCAGTCAAGTTTCTTAGTTACTACAAAAACTGTTCAATTCTCATCACCACCAATTTAATTTATTATAAAGTTTGTTTCAAACTGTATCCTGAAAAYGGGGGGGAGGAGTTTATATACTTGATCATTAATAACACTTCACTTTACAAATAAACAATCAATTTCAACAAACTTACCAGATAATATTACTACTACACCACTTTAGACAGAATGAGAAAAAGATCACTTGTCAAGATACTACATTCTATACTGTCAGGGCAAAGGAAAAATTGTCAAAAGAAGGCAGAGGAAGTAGGGAAGAGTTTATTCTGTGCAGTGACTGAAGACTTTTTAAAAAATAACAATGACATTTTAAATATATATTCCTAAGTCACTGTGTGGTGACACAKTAACATTTGTACTGTTGCAGCTTTTGAGTGGAAATTAAGAGGCTGAACACCATCTCCTCAGTTAACAGCATCGTACATCTAAAATAGTGCACTTTATAAAAATAAAAACACTGTTACATTTCAAATATTTTTCACACTCTGAGAAAGTTATCATAAAGAATACTCATGTAAAAAAAGGCTTTCTAATAATGCATATAAATCCTTTAACACATATGTAAAACGCTGAATACATTTTAAGGAATCAACTCTTACATGAGTAGATCCTCAGAAAAACGTTTGATGAAAGACTGTACCGGAAACCCCAATTCCTTGTGTGCCAGTATCTATGTGAAGCACTCCATAGCTATTCCCATACTTCCATTTGATAATCTTACATTTCAGATTTTCTCAACACCTATAGTTCTAACTGTAGCCAATGAAGATACAGGAATTCCAGCAAGTGCAAAAGCACATGCTGTCACTATGTTTGAGCTAAAAATTCAGCTTCTGAGGTCAAGTATCAGAAGACTAGTAAAAGACAGGTATTGTGATCATTAAATACTAGAAAATCTTATACTAAACCCCACACAAATATGTTCTCTGTGTACATGTAAATGAATGTACATTCACATACCTGCACACACAACCACAATCTATTGAGTTTTAAGAAGGAGAAGTTGTCCTRAACACAGCTTTAATCCTGCTGAGACTCCGTGACTAATAAGGAAATCAAGAAATCTAATTCATGTTTGTCTGCTGTATTCCCCACATCTGAAATACAAACATAGCAAGGGGAGCACAAGTATAATAGGGACTTTTATCAGGGTAATACAGGCTTCTACCAGGTTTTTCTCATCAATCAACATATCTTACTAGTTTTGTTACAATTATTTTGAATCTATCTGATAAAGTACTTCAAATGTTGTTGCTCTAAAATGAACAAAAACAACCATAGTTGCCTTCCCATTTTATGGAAGTAGCAAGAAACCAAGTCATATTTGAATTGTTCCATCTGATAAGCAAACGAGCAGCCAAGCAAATCCAGACTTCCCAAGAGATCCACTTTCCTTAGAAGTGCGCTAGAAGTTGTTCATGCACAACATCCACATCTGGTTGTGATTACMCAGCTCTAAGAGGTGTGACTGCATCTCAGAACACTAAATCTGAGCTTGCTTTAAAGAAACCAGTTTGGACACTGACAGCAACCCTGCTATGACAGCTCTCCATGTAGGACAAGCCAGCTTTCCAAAAACCTGTTCAGCTCCTAYGCTGCTAAAAACCAAGCAACCCCCTTAAAATTAGCTCAGCTTATGTCTATAAAACAAAAGCACACTTCTAACTGCAGCACAAACCTACTTTTGTGATACTGCAAGTCCAGAACTAGTAGACAGCAGTAGCAATAGGCACAAATAACTACAAGTAAGCAGGGACAAATCCTAGATACTATACAGGATAAAATTTCAAATTCAGCTAAAAACAGAAAAACAAGCTTTTCAAAATCACAACAAAAGCATAAACAGAGGTTTTTGTCTGACAGAATTCACTATGGACTTGCCCTTTTAATCTCAAGACAGCACACACTGAAAACCTTATTTAGAAATACACTGTGACACTGTGATGATAAAGGGTCAGCTCTCTTCTGGGTTTGAACACAAAAATTGCCTCATAAGCTTAGGTGGCTTCATTTACATGGCACCCCATTTTAAACAGGGGCTCGCTCTCACAAGCATTATCTTAAAAAAAAAAACCCTTTGACCTTCAAAAATATTTTTTCTATTTGGTGAAAATAAGTAATGTAAGTACCTAAAGCTCATTCATGGTATGAAGTTGTAAGCTGCTGTAGTGAAAAGCCCTCAGAATTCAAGTCYTCCTGGATTCAAGTAACTGTCACAATTAATTTATTGAGATTTCTTGCAATTTCTTTTCTCTTGATAACTTTTGTATCACTCTCTTACATCCACTTTCAACTTCATTCTTCTTATGACAGGGACCAGGCAGACTATTTTRTTTTCAATCCTGCCTCTCAATGGGTATTAACACAAATGTTCTGAGCCATTTTTCTACACTATATATAAGGACAGAATACACCTATCATGCCTCAGACAGCAAAAAAATCCATTCATGCAAATGCTTCTACTTCCTTATCCACCTATCTCTTGTTCTCCAACACTAAGGTTTACCTAAGAGTTCTGGGATTTGTTAGTATTAAGTACAACTCCTGAAAACACCATCAAATTTTCATACTGTGCAAAATTAGCAAATAGATTCTAGAATCCCTGAAAATCAAAAAATAAAATAATAACAGGTTTCATCAGCAGAAACAGGTCCACTACTAGTGGACTACTTAGTACTCATCTAGTTGACCTCATTAATTTAATAAGAATTTTTTTTTTTAAACAAGCCAACAGTCTTCAAAAACTCTAGAAATTAACTCTTCATGATCACCAACCAACAAGGTTCATCCTCTTTTACTGTGTACGCAATAAGTAGTAAACATTCCCTTGAAAGATGGATAAAATCAAGCACGAATCAGTAGCTTGGTAGCCAGAATTACAAAAACAYGGTGAGCTGTGATGTGGCCTGTAGAGAATGATAGTTAGCATGGTTAACTAGTCCTTTATTACAGCAAACAGGCAATAAATTCAACTTGAAATATATTGCATCGAAAAATACTATAGCTAACTTTGCATTTCACAAGTGCAGTGACAGTAAACAATGTTAATTGCTGTCTTCACGAACAGTAAGAGAGAAAAAGTAGTTTGAATTTAGCCCTACATGGCAAAACCTTGAAGAATGTGACATTTTCCTATGACACACTGAAAGGTCCCCATAAAATTATTTGCCCCCTTTGTAAGAAYGCAACTAACAGATTGCCATTCAGTCCCAGAAAGATTAATTTTCAATAGATGGTCACAAGAAAAATATTTTACTTAGCTTCACAAATCCAACATTACTGTTAATTCAGCTCATGTTGAACAGAACTTTACAATTTCTCTGGCATTCAGGGGTCTTACACTTTGGCACAAATAAATAATAACTTTTCAGAAGACAAAGTCCTCCTTATTTTTGTATTACCTTGGTCAGCGTTCAAGTTCATATAATCCTTTAGTCCTCAAATAATACTTTCATATTTCTCAAGTTAAACTTTAAAAGTCATTAAAGTATCCTTATTAAAAAAAAAATCATCTCTAACAATTTAACCCTATTCAACTTTCAAATCCTATCATAGTGTATCTGAACATGCAGCTACCAACACATACACATAASATACAGTATGGGCATTCTCCTAGTCCATACAGTAGGATTGCATACTTTATTGATTTACAAATATATTTTTATTAGGTTTTACATAAGCCTCAGTTAACTAATTCAAATTATAACATGATTATACTTTTCATGGAAATTCAGGGGAAGTATATTTATTGCTATACTGATTAAGTGCAGCAAAAAAGGCTCAGTAACTACAAAACAATAGATACAGTTTTACTGTTTTATACTAAGCTGTACAACCTTTTCTGAAACCAATGCTTTTTTAATGGTAGTTCCTTATGATAATTCAGCATATTCTATTTCCTAATACCCACAATATCTTCTGCTAAACTATTTTTGATACCTGTTGTCAGGTGGGGGGTGTTGTTTACCTCTTTATT